TTCAATATTCAGATCATGACTGACAGCTGCCGGGTCAAACACTTAGTTCATTGTCGGGAATTATGTGAACTGACAACTGACCGCGCACTGCAGGAAAAAGAAAAAGAGGATCTAGAATTATTGAATCTGGCTCTCATGACGTTTTCTCTTTTTTCTTCTTTCTTTCTTCACTTTTTTGCTCTGACTAGGATGATGGTTGCCGAGGTACATGGCACAGCGCACCCCATGGTACAGTACATTATGGAGGGTGAATCGGGCTTCGCCCCCAAACGGCGCCACGAGGGACGACATACATATACAGGCGCAGTTTATACATAAGTCATGGGTAGTTATAAATATATTAATATATCTAGCAGAAACGTATATATATGTTAGCATGTTCTTAAGGAGTGTAATCTGTAGTATTGAAAAGGGACCATACCCTCAGCTGACAACATACTAGTCTCTCTCTTCTGCCAAGCCAGCCAGCACTTGTGCCTGCTCCTGCTCACCTGCCGCACCTGTTTGCCCAACTTGCAACTGAGTTTGGGGATTGATTGGCCGCAACTCCAGGCAAGACAACCACGATCCGGCTAGCTGCTTACGGCCAGACACGCTTCTTACCAGGTTTCAAGGGTGTGGGGGGTGTCCCAAGGTTCCAGTCAGCAGAAGCCGGGCAGCGTGGGCCTTTGCGCGGACTCGGCTGCGTTGAGACTAGCAGCCCGGGCCTGCCAGTGTGTGGTTCCTGGTTCCTGTGCCTGGAGTCGTCTCAGCCAGTCCAAGGACCTGCCAGTCTTGGTCGTTGGTGTCTGGCAGCTGTTTGGCAGCTGTTTGGTTGCTGTTTGGCTGCCCTGCGCCAGTGCCGTTGTTGTGTAGTGGAGTGTGGTGTGGTGCTTGGTGCTTGGTGCTTGGTGCTTGGTGTTTGGTGCTTGGTGCTGGTGCTGGTGCTGGTGCTGTGTGGTGCTGCACTCCGTAGTGTGGTGTGGTGTGGTTTGGGTGAGTGGTGCTCACCTCACTTTCTTCCTTCTCCCACTCCTTTCTCCTCTTCCTTCTCCTCCCCTCCATCCGCCTCTCCCCCAAACATATACTGGTCGTCTTTTTCTTTCATTTATTTCCTTTTTACCCCCTATCGTCTGTCTGCTTATCCCCTCCAAACCCCTGGATTACAGTCCGTTCACTCATTCACGGCTTTCCAACCACGCTCCTTCAGCTTTGATTCCTTCTTTATTCTGCTTCTAGTCTTCTTCTGTCCGCCCTTTAGCCGACTACTTTCGTTCACCACTAAGGATCTATCTCGTATATTACACAAACACATATATAGATATCGATATCGATATATCCATATATATCAAGATATACATAACAGAGACCCTCCCTAGCCCATGCGGCTGCTTTCCTTCGAACCCCTTGCCACTGCCACGCTGCCTTGGTCCAGCTTTTTCGACTTTATTGACTTCTTCGACTTCTTCCCTTCGATTTAAGTACACCCGTCGACGAGGTCCGGGACATAATCAACCGTGAGGGAGGCGATCCATCCATCTCTTCATCACCTGGTGATTTGGCTGGTTGCGCCTGGATCGAGAGCAATCTTCGTCCCAGAACTCCATCAAAACATCATATCCCGTCGCTTCTATCCTCGTCTTCTTCTTTTCTTTTTTTTAGAAGCGCGAGTAATCCCATTCACTTGTTTTATCCATTATTCATTCATACACTCATTTGAAACGGGCGAAGAGAAAAAAACGCTTCGATTCTTCTTGCTTCGCTTTTATTTTCACATTCTTCAGGTCACTCCTTTACTATCGTTATTACATCTTTTCGACCAGATATATCCGTTCATTACGTCCCCTCCGTTTCCCTCCGTTTCCCCCTCTTTCGAGCTTGACGCCTCGGAAAATTATCTTTCTACGAATTGACGACCCATTCGCATCTGTCGACCGGCTCGCGACAGCATTTTCTCCATTAGACCTGCCCAAATATTCTATCTGCTCCTGCATTATATACATCTCCATTGCTAGTCATGACTTCGACTACAGAGTCCGTGGCCACGTCGATCACGGCCACAGCCATGACAGCACACAATGGAACTACCAACGATATCAATTCAACGAGTGGCGTGACTCCAGACAATACCACTTCCGCAATATCAACTCCCTCCCCATCTTCCACCAGTGCCTCCGCAGTATCGGGATCCTCTGCAACCCAGAACCGCGCATCAATCCGTCGCCCGCCGCGAAAAAGTACCTTGACGCAGCAACAGAAGAACCAGAAACGCCAGCGCGCAACGCAGGATCAACTGGTTACCCTTGAAACGGAGTTCAATAAGAATCCAACTCCGACAGCTGCTGTGCGCGAGAGGATTGCTGAGGAGATCAATATGACTGAGCGGTCGGTTCAGATTTGGTTTCAAAATCGGTAGGATCCCCACCCTGATATACAAAATATAGCATTTTTGCTCTGTTGTGAGACAGTGTTTCCTGAGATGGATGGAGCTAACTTGATAGTGTAGACGTGCTAAGATCAAAATGATTGCCAAAAAAGGCATCGAAACTGGTGAAGACTGTGATGCCATTCCCGAATCGATGCGCCAATATCTTGCCCTCCATTTTGATACTTCAAAGTCTCACGCACGCAACTTATTCAATAGATACCCCGGCTATGGACCCAACGCGATGCATGAGCCTCCTATCTCGTCTGGCAAAATCGTTATCCACCACTTCGCATGTCGTTCCCTCAGAATTGGTACCTGGCGTCGTGTAGGCCAAAATGCCATGGATCTAGTGATCTTCTATTCGCCTGAGAAGTCTTGCATGACATACTATATAAATAACGATTCTGCTGGGTATAAGATCGAATACCCATTCTCTTACATCAAGAATATTGTCTTGGAATCTGGCGACCCAGGGCCGAATGCTGATGGCACTCCACCGAAGCCTGGAGGACTGGTTATCGAACTCAATCGTCCTCCAAATTTCTATATGGACTCATCAAACTCGGGCGGATTTTACCAATGCAGGGATTTCACTGAGGATCAACAGGCTACCAAGTCAATGATTCATTATCTAGGCGGTCACCCGAAAGTTCTCAGTGTTCAATTAGCGAAACTGGTATCGCTTGAGTCATTCCAAAATCGTCTGATGCAGTATGATTTCAGCGGATTCGCTGTGTCAGCTCCTGTTTCTCCGCACATCGTTCACAGACCGGCCTCGCAACCGAACCATCTAGCTAGGCCAAATTCATCCATGTATCAGGAGAATAATAACCAATTCGGAATGAACTTACATCCTGGTCGGGGCCATAAACGGCAACGAAGCCGGTCTGTTCCCGTGCCAGTTGACTTTGCTGCCATGGGCTACCATGTGCCGTCATTCCATATCCAACAATCCCATCCCCCAGCACAGCAGTTCAACCCAGATCCTAACATCTTCGCACCCATCCCGCAGAGCCGCATGCCCCATATTCCGCCTGTCAGTGATGACATGCGGATAGATGCCCCACCCGGCTATGCCATGGACTTCCAACCCTATCCCATGTCTGCAACGACAACGACGAACACTGCGACAACAGCTGCGACCTCCTCGGAATTCGCCAATCCGCCTTTCTTCGCTACAGCTGCACCAGCAGACCAGAAGCCGATTCAGATGCAAACTCACCAGCAACAGCCTAACACTTCCACCCAGCTATTAGGATCACCATACAGCCTTCCCTTCCTCTCACCGTCTCCAATGGTTGATGCCCCAAATATGATACCTCAACAGCAACAACACTCTCCCTCACCATTATCGCATGTCAGCCACGTCGCTACCGAACCAATGATCGCGGACCAATCTCCACCCTCCGTGACGAAATTGCAACTGAATCACTCCCCTACGCCTTCTGCGGATGACTTGTTCTCTCTCTCCCTTGCTGACCATGACGCCAAACAAGGCAACGACGAACATATGGCCGGTATGCCTGGTCTTGGTCCTGTTTGTGTTGTAGGTGAAGACGGCAGCGATGATGCTGCGGGTATGTTATTGAGCGAGATGTACTCGAAGCAAGATCTTAATCAAAATAACGATCATAATAATCAGGACATGTCCATGTCCATGCCGATGTCTATGCCTATAACTATGCACCATGACCACTCGCCGCCGATGGAGATGGATGACGATAGTTTCGTGCTTGCGTTGCAAGGGTTTGGGGCTGACCATGATCACCGACAACAGCAGCAACATGGCCTTGGTCACTCACCACCAAATGAGAGTGTTGGCGATTACCATGGTATGCTCCCGTTTGACACTGTGGATCCGAGCTCCCTTGCTGTGACAGCTGCGGAGGCTTGAATTGAACAAAACGCGAGTAGAGAGGTCTTGGTGAATTCAAGTTACGGCCGAATATTTTTTTTGCTTTTTCTCTTCTCTTATTTCTTTTCAGATTTGGAAATGGCGAATTCGCAGATTTTGTATGGCTTTATATGTTCTGTTGATTATTTTGATATATATTATTTTCTTGATTTTTGTTCCAAATTGCCAATTGCATCGTTTCCTCTCACGCTCAACTCGGGTTTTGTCTTTTTATATTCTTTTTTCCTTTGACTGGTTTCATTGAGCCTGTTCTTTGCCTTTTTTTTTTTCCTTTTTGGCTCTTACGTTTCAGTTTACTAACCATGCTGAGTTTACTTTTATCTTCTATTAACTATCGTCATTCTTCTTCCTCCGTTTCCCCCCTCGCAAGTTATAACTTGTAAGGGACCAAACTTGCATTCAACATCATTCCTCTCCTCTCAACCGATCTGTCAATTGTCTGGGCCTACCTATCAATCGACCAAGCAACCGACCATGTACTTCACCCATTCCAAATCCATTACCCGCATGCTTCTTTCTCATCCCAACTCGCTAAGTC